GGCCTGGCCTGGCTGCGGCAGCGGCACCAGCACCTGCCGCCCCCGCAGCCCGGGGTGCTCTTCTTCGCCGACGACGACAACACCTACAGCCTGGAGCTGTTCCAGGAGGTGCGTGCGGGACAGGGGGGCGCGCTCGGCCGCCACGCTCCACCGCTCCCCGAGCAGCCCCATCCCCGCTCCCCGCCTCTCCCCTCTGGCTGCTGCCGCTCCCCCTCCTCAGGCTCCCGCTCGGGGCTGTGCCCCATCCCCGCTCTGCGGCGCGCTCGGTGCCCTTTGAGTCCAGCCCGGAGACCTTGCAGCGCTCGTCCCTCACCGGGCTCCCCGCAGCTGCCTCTGTGTGAGCACCGCTCTCTTGATTCCAAGTTTCTTCTCCCTCCTTTCCATACTCCCCCAACTTTTCGCTGCTCTTTTCTCACTTTGTTGCCGAGCGAGGCAAGTTTAAGGTTTGTATAAGGGGTTCTACGTTTTTGTTTAAAACTGGGTTGAAAAGTGCTCTTTGGTTTGTTTTTTTTAGGCTGCATTCCTCTCCCTGTAGGGCAAACTCGCATCAGGAGTCGCCATCCTTCACATCTTTTTACTTGGAGCTAATGAATTAAGCCAGAGCCGGCTTCTTCACGTGGAGTTGCCTTTTTGAAGCCTTTGCTCTTAAAAGCAGCAAATCGCTTGTGTAACGACTGAACGCCCTTTCAGGAGTCTCTTTTGTGAAGGGACCTCTTTTTGCCTTCATTGCCTTCCCTCGGTGAAGGGCTTTGTTTCATTTCGGTGGGAACTGGCAAGCGCTCGGGGCAGAGGGTATCCAGCTTTCTTTCTGGGTTCCCCCTGGCAGGAAGGAGGGTGTTTAATGAGTGGACATAAAACAGGAGAAGGAAGATCATGTGCATCTTCTGTGACAGCTAGGAGACCTTGGCAGGGAAATGAGGGAGGGAAACGGGAAAGTTTCCCTGCGTGGCAGGCAGCACAGGGCTTCAGACGTGCTGCGGTCTGTGTGTTGTGCCGGTGGACAGAGCTGTAGTTGGAGGTGAGCACCCATCCCCTGCCGCTGGCTGCCGAGCTCTGCTCTTCCTCGCGTGCTTTACAGTCAGTCACTGAAGGGAAACGTGATATGCAGAAATGTGAATCACATGCAATTCCCTAGAGAAAGCTGGTTTAGAAACGCTCAGGTTCGTAGTGTTTAGGTTCGTAATGCATCCCTCTCCATTTCCACTGTGTGGGCAGGTGCAGGGTCCCCATTCAGTAGGGATGTCCTACTTCTTTTGCCCCATTCAGCATCGAAGCTGCTAATTTAAAGACCTTTGCCTAGAGGCTAAACCTTTGTTGCAATTGATTTTTTAAAATTCTCGTAGCTGTGCTCAGTGCATTATAATGCAGAGTAATTTCACATACCCGTCTTTGATGTTATGGGCGTGCTCACGTGTATTTGTAGAAATAAGCCTAATCTGACTGAATCTTAGGGAGTCTGACAATGGAAACAGAAAATACACACATAATGCCAAAATACTTTGGCAATGAGTAATGTGGGACAGGAGATATTTGGAGAAATACCTCCTGTGTGTTTGTGGGGGAATTTTTTTGGTTTTTGGTGTTGAGTACCAGAATTAGGGACAAGCTGAAGGAACAGTATTGGCTGGCATTTTTCCTGAATGCTCCACAGCTATTGGAAAAGGAGTCTGGTCACATTTATTCTTTTAAAATTTCTATCATTATTCTACTAATTGCTGTAAATTATGAAACAAAGGTACAAATTACCTCTCTAATTAGCTAGGAAATTCAGGAAAGCGATGGGATAAAGCTGTCTGAAGGGTTAACCTTGAAAATTGCAAACAGAACAGGCAACCTGTGTTTCCTCTTGCTAACAAGAGTCGTAACCTCCAGCAGGAGCTTCTGCAACCCTAAGGCTTCCCTTTCCCCTGTGTTCAGCTGCTGGGAAGGAGCTGTTTGCTCTGAGCCTTGTGTTTGCAGGCAGACAGGCATGCATGAGTGAGTTTTCCCTGAGAAATGGGAAGCTTGGAAAGCTCAGTTACAGGAGCAGAGAAGGAGCTTTTGCTTCAGTTGCCTCTGCAAGTTCCTGTGGCTGTTTTTTGGGGTCACTAAGGAGCTGTTGGCAGGGGCTCTGGGATGCCACTGGTAGTAACACAAGGAATGCTTTGCCGACCTGGCAAAGTTAGCGGAAATCCATTGGCAGGCTTTGCCAAGGGGATGTGCCTTTACGTGTGGGAGGTTACATTTGGAGAGAGCCAGGAGCCCGATTTTTCAGTCGAGGCACTGCTAGAGGGCTGGTTGCTTTTTGACTTGATAAAAGAAAAATCTGTGTATTCATGGATTCTGGCTTGACAGCTCTGTGGTTAATCCTGATCCCTCCTTGAGGAATTGATTGATTTATGAGCGTAAATTATACTTGTCTTCTCCAAGCATGAAGAGCACAGCTTCAGAATGCATTGTTTGCAGATGAAACCTGGTAGTAATTCCTGCTATGAAAATGGTGGTAACTGTACCTGAGAGGGAGCTTTTCCAGTTTGTTGCCCTGCCAGGAACAATTCTCCAGACCAGCAGCTGCTTTCCCAAAAGAGGGCTGACAAACTGTAGTCTGCTCACTAGGAGGGGGCAGTTTAAAAGTAGGAGACTGAGACAGGAGCTCTGAATTCTCATCCTAGCACCATCCTGTGCTGGCCGTGTGACTTTCAGTGTGTCACTGACATGGGGACAGGCATGTGTAGGCCCCACTGTGCCAGCAGCACCGTGTGCAGGCAGCTGTGTACATTTGCTGGTTTATGAAGCAGCAGGTCTGTCCTCTTTGTAGTGGATTGCTGCTGAGCCAAAGTTGGTTTCAGTAGCAGCAGCAAGGCTTCGGGGAGATGGGAACCAAGGCTAGCTAGGAGTGTAAAGCCAGCATGAGAGGAACATTTGTGTTAGGGATGTGTTTTACTCAGAGGTCAAACAAGCAGGACTGTGGAGCAGAAGGTGAACAAGGGAGCTGCACGTATGAGGGATTGTGTTTAAGGCAGCTCTTTGCTGCGGCTTTCCCTGGTGTCCTGACAGGAGATGGAGCCTTTTGACAAAGCAAGAGCAGCAAAGGCTTTATTGTGAATTGTAGTGTATAAACCAAGAGGCCATGATCCAAAAGGAGCATGCTTTGACATGGAATGCCATGGGATGCTTCTGAGAGCTTTTGATGAAGAAATTCTAATCTCTGTCCAAAGTACTTCTGCCTGGTGCTTATAAGAATGAGTACTTTATATTTGATGTGGAGTCAGCTGGGCCCAGTAGACCTAGGCTAAGTGTGTTTCATGAAAATCAGGGAAAAAAAACCCCAGTTTACAGTAGTCGGGAAAATGTCACCTTCTGGAACCCTTGGGTGCTGTTTATAATTATCTTTTTTTTTTTTTTCTTAAGACCTAGGATGGAATGTGGATGGATAGGTCACTTCTGACTGGTGAAAACTATGCTCTCAAAGTCAAACTGGGCAGGGTCTAAACAGTTTTACTTGTCCTTTCTAGAACAAGGTGGAGACCCTGGTTTGTCTTCCTGCTGCTACAGCATTGGCTCAGGTTAGCATTTTGTAAAGAAAGGTTCACCATCCATGGAAAGGCTGCAGGGAAGGAACCAACCTATTCAATGATTGTGAAATTCTTTAGAGTAGTAAAAGGGGCTGCAGCAATGATGAAGAAATATTTCCAGTAGAGGTGTGGCTTTTAAGTTATTCCCAACTCTTTCTGCTTGAGAGTGTAGTGGTGGTCAGGTGAAAAACCATGTTTTTCTTTAATGCCTGTGATTCTGGCATATTGTATTTTGTAATTTATAATTTTGGGACCCAGAACTCAGAAATAATTTATGTGTTTTCTGCTCAGGCATGATCTGTTCATCTGGAGGTGTCCTTGTGCATCTCTCCATCAAAAACAAGTCTGCTTTCCGAAAATACCTGTTATGTTAAAAGTCAGCTTGCATTCATAAAAAAGCCACTAAGAGGACTGAAATTCCAACTATTATATTTAAGATGTTTTACAAATGTTTCTACATGACTCACCATAGCTTCTATTTTTTACCACAGGCTGTTCATTTTGGAGTGACTCTTATAGTTTCTGGTGCATTTGTGCTTCATCTTATTCCTGAATGCAAGTTATTGTAATATTGTGACTGATGCCTAGCAACTGCTGATTTCACATTTTTAAACTTCCAGAGGAAAAATAAACTTAGGTAATACTGGCATTCCACCTTCACAGAGAGATTTTAAAAACAGGATTAACCTAAGCGTGGAAACTGAAGATGGACAGCTAAGTTCCATTTCCCTTAACTCTTCACATAATTCCTGTGTTTCTGTGTCTCAGGTGTTTTCTCTGCTCTTTTCACATTTTGGGTAGTTGGCCAAAGGCCATCACTTCCATGGTCCATGTTTTGGATATGTATGCAAATTGGAGGAGTGAGTGTTGGAGATCCACTCTGCTGTTGATTGTGCAGACTGTCCTGAACCCTCTGTAGGTGAGGGGTGAGCATCATGAGGAATACAAGAGTAGTGAAGGTCTTCAGTACCTGTCTGAAAGTGAGCTTGCTGCATTCAGAAACACACAGAGTTTTAGAGGTTCCTGTCTAGGTTATTTCTGCCACTTTTGCTTGTGTTTTGTTCAGACACCTAAACTAGATATATTTGAGATATATTTGATATATTGAAATTAAAATGCTCGTATCTAGGACCATGTTCTCCCTCCCTGCCACCCCAGGTCATCGTGTCCAGAATTTCACAGCAATGTTTGCTGGGTGCCTCTAGAGCATGCAAGTGTGGCACATTGCACTGCCTTGTCTGAGTGCAAGGAGAGGATTTACAGGCTGGGTCTCAGAGAAATCCATGCTCTAAGGTGTGATGTGGGGACAGCCTTGTAGCATGGAATTCAGAATAGTTCACAGCCCTAATTGTCATTTCTAAGGGGTAAAGAAACCCAACCCAAACTCCAGTAGCTCAGCAGTTAGTCCATTGCCCACTGAGTTGTGGACCAGAATCCAAATTGCTGTAGTAGTTGCCTGCACAAGAGTGCCCTGAATATGATGGCAGAGTTGAAGCTGGAAGGGAGGAATGAGAGGACAGAGCTCATCCTGCTCTCCCTAAGTTGGATTAGTCT